TCATCATGGGCTTTTAAAATGAAGAAAAATGCCAAAAATTGAGAAAAAGGCATTTTGTGCATTTTGGGCTTTCTTTTTTAAAAAAAAAATTGTAGTAGAGGGTGGGCTTGGGCCCTTATGGCTGGCCCCTCCCCCATTTCCCTTCTCTTCCCACATATAAATATCACACTTTCTCCACCTACAACTCTCATTTTCTCACTTCATCTCTCCAACTCCTCTCTCAAAATTCTCTCTAGCTCTCTCTTGCAAAAGAGTTCAAACTCCAGCCAATTTCTTCATATTTTTCCATCAAAATAGCAAAGATTTTGAAGATATTATATCCTTCTCATCAATAATCAAGGTAACATCTTCATCTTCCTCTTTTTCTTGCAAATTTTGGAAGAAAAACCCACTTTTTATGCATTTCTATCTACTATCTTCTAACCTCCGAAAATTCTGAGTTTTAAGGAGAGATTACACACCAAAAACATGTAAAAATGTTCATATRAYGKTGGTAATCTATGACCCAAACATTAGAACTCAAGAAAATGGGTAAAATCATGTTGCATGTAGGTTTGTTTTTTAAAAATGGTATTTTTTTTTTGTGCTGACAGATTATGTGCTTGTGCACAAATCGTCCATATCTTGTAAATGGTTTGTTCAAACATTATGAGGTTTCTTTTAAAAGTTTATTTATTGAGTTGGGGTTGCAATGCATTTGGTTTCACTCAAAAACATTGAGTTTTGTCCCCCCAAATGCTCAAAACATTGTATATATATATCTGAGAGTTTTTCAGTAGGTAAACCCTACTTTGAACAGCCATAACTCTCTCATAACTCAATGAAAAAGAATGATTCTTCTTTTGAGAGTTAATTTTATGGGTTGTCTCCTACATTCAAGTGGAATCACATAAAATTATGGAGTTTTGATCTCCAAGCACGTAAAACTCTATAGGTGTGCAAACTGTGAAACCACCAGTAGGTAACTCTTACTTTGAATGCTAATATCTTTCTACTTACTTGTTCTTAATGTATTATTCTTCTTCTAAAACKTTCTTATATGAGTTAGGATTCATTTGAATCCAGTTTCACTCAAAAATATGATGTTTTGAGGCATTAACCAATTTATTTAAGTTAAGTGTGCAATCTGTCAACTAATGACAGATGTGTGYATGTGACTTTAAGGTATCATATCTTCCTCTCAACTCATCCAAAATGAGTGATTCTTAGTTTAAAAGTTTTGTATAAGTGTTAGGTTTCCAATACAACTTGAATCTTTGCAGAACACCAAGTAGAACTCTTTTTAT